AAGAACGAATCGAGAAGATTATAGAAGAAAATAGAAACTTAAGATCTATCTAGACTCAAGTCCCACCTAGGATGAAATAAAATCATAGAGATGGAAAATAACCAAGGTGTAATAGAAAAAAGCAGAACTCAAATCTCTAAGACAACAAATAAATATTATAGTGACCTCTACAGCTCTAAAAATAGTCCACCTGATACAACTCAACAAAACCTGAAAAAGAAAATAATGAATGTAAACTTTGAAATATTACCCCTCATAACCGGAGAAGAAATAGAAAAAGCAATTACAGATATGAAAAGAAATAAGGCTCCGGGAGACGATGAAATTCTAATTGAAATGTTAAAAGAAGTAGGGGAAAAAGATAAAAGAACAAGTGTAGAAAAGGGCAAGAGTGGAACAAGGCAAATACAATTCTGATATATAAGAAAGGAAACAGATCAAAATTAACTAACTATAGACAATATCTCTCTTGTCACAAATCTATAAACCTTTCACTAAGTTAATCACAACTAAACTAATTTGATGCATACCAACAGGTTGAGCAGGCAGGATTTAGAAAGCGGTACCAACGAATACAACCTTCCAATATACCTAGCGTGTGTTGACTATAAAAAAGCGTTTAACAGCATAGAACTATGGGCAGTAGAAGAAGCGCTAGTTAATTGCCGAATAGATTTACGGTACAGAATGCTAATCCACAATATATATCAAAACGCCACTACGAGAATTCAGCTAAACAGAGATTTGCAAACTCCATTAATTAGAATTTGTAGAGGTATCAGACAAGGAGATACAATCTCACCCAAACTATTTACTCTGGCGTTGGAAGACGCTAAATCTATAGACTGGGACAATAAAGCGATTTGTATAAACGCGAAATATTTAAATCATCTAAGATTCGCCGATGATGTACTCCTGATAGCAACAACTATGGAACAACTATAAATAATTATTTAAGACCTAGAAAAAACATCTCTTGAGAAAGGACTAAAAATGAATCTAAAGAAAACTAAAATAATGACTAATACAGAAGACAGATCAGTAATTACAATAGGTTAGAACAGACATAGAACACGTCCAAGAATATATTTACTTAGGACAAGTTATCAGAGCAGACAAAAGTAACCAGACTAAAGAAATAACCAGAAAAATAAGAATGGGGTGGGCTGCATTCCAAAAACTCTCATATACTATCAAAAACCAAAAAATACCTTTAAAATTAAGAACGAAGGTATTTAATGCATGCGTCCTACCTGTTCTGACATATAGTGCCCAGACGTGGACGTGTACCAAGAGCAACTTAGATAGAATAAAGAAAACTCAAAGAGTTATGGAAACACAAATGTTGGGAATATCGTTGAGAGATAAAAAGAGGAACGAGTGGATAAGATGCAAAACCGAAACAATAGACGCTGTCGAACATGCATTGAAATTAAAATGGAAATGGGCTGGCCATAATGAAAGATATCAAGATGGAAGATGGAATAAAAAAATTGGCCGCTGGAGACCATATACTGCAAAAAGATCAAGAGATCGACCGCAAATGAGATAGAAAGATGACATTGAGCAAAGCGCAGGTCCAATGTGGAAAAGACAAACAGAAGACAGAGACAAATGGAGACAAATGGGAGAGGCCTATATTCAACACATGAATAGATTTTGGGCTATAGATAGATAGATGCATTATTATGTTGTCTACACCTCTCTGCACTGCTGTACCTGTACGCTGGTTTGACTGGTTTCATGCATTTGTGAATGAAATCCCTCTGTCTATTTATATTTCTGGTATTTTCATCTATTTTTTTTTTTATTTTTATTTATCCGCATCAACCACTAGGGTTATTAGCGGTAGGTTTATGATACAAATATAGAAAATAAGATACATTTTAAAAGTCATGACTTACAACAATATGGTATTATGTACATGTATGTAAATGTAACAAAAATTAAATCACAATTTATTATAGAGTTTACAGTGTTTTAAAAAAGACAGAACTTCATTGAATTTTGTAACCAGTGCTTCTTTCAGGCTGTTGGGTATCTTGAATATCGCCTTGGCTGAGGTGTACTCTGGACATTCTATTAATATATGGTTGACTGTGAAAGGTGTTTGGCATCTTTGGCACATTGGTAGTGGTTCTTTGGAGATTATGTAGCCGTGTGTAAGTCGTGTATGCCCAAGTCGGAGTCTGCTGATAATTACCTGGTCTTTTCGTTTTGGTGGTATACCAAGATTTTTTGAGGATACGTCTGGTTTGATATTTTTAAGATTTGTGTTTGTTTGATCCCATATTTCTTGCCATATTTTATTCACATGAGTCTTTAATAAAGTCTTAGTATCTGATATTGGTATATCTGTTGTAGTCGGAATGTTCACATTGTTTATTGCTTCAAACGCTGTTTTGTCTGCTAGCTCATTACCAGATATTCCGACATGGGATGGGACCCACATAAATGATATAATTTTCCCAGAAAATTGGAGCTGTTGCAACGCGTCCTTAATTAGGAATAGATTGATGTGTGTGGGATAAACATGTTTAATGGCCTGTAAAGAGCTTAATGAATCTGATAATATTAGTATTTGTTTTTCATTTATGGTTTTACAATGATTTAGTGCGTCAAGTATTGCTTGGAGCTCTGCGGTATAAATACTACAGCCGTGAGTTAATCTAGTGGCAGAAATTAAGTTTTCTGATACAGTAGCAGCTGCTACTCCGTTGCAAGTTTTGGAGGCATCAGTGAAGAACAATTTGTGAGTGGAATATTTGAGTAAATTTGTATGATACTGAAGCCTGATCTCTGCAGAATTGTGTAAATGCTTATCATGATTAAGTAAGGAGAGGTCTACTATTGGTAAAGAAACTGTCCAGGGAGGTGTCTGGTATATTTTTATGGGTGCCAAGGTAATTTGATTGATATAATACGGTAATCTTTTAACTCGTTCGTAAAATGGTACTGTCTTGGTGGTGTAATTTGTGTATTGTTCTAGTGATTCTTCCGATACTAAACTTGCGAGAAAGGTATGATCCTTTGCGCTTAGAATTCTTGAAGCGTAGCATAGTGATAGATATTGTCTTCTGAGGTATAGTGGCATTTCTCCTGCTAGCACTTGAAGGCTTCTTATTGGAGTAGTTCTAAAGGCCCCAAAGATTAGTCTTAGAGATGTGGTTTGAATAACGTCCAGTTTTTTTAGTTGATTTTTATTTGCTGTTTCATAACAGATGCATCCGTAGTCGAGTTTGCTTCTTATTAATGTCTGATATAAATTAAGAAGAATTTTAGTATCTGATCCCCATTTATGATTGGATAAAACTCTTAGTAAGTTTATTCCTTGTTGACAGGATTTGATTAAATTGTTGATATGTGAAGTCCATGTGAGTTGTGAGTCAAATATTACACCCAAAAATTTGATTTCGCGGACTTGTTTTAGAGGATGGCCATTTAGATACAAGTTTAAGTTGTATTCTGCTCTTCGTTTGTCAAACATTATTACTTTAGTCTTCTCAGTTGAAAAAGTTAAACCAGTCTCTAAAGACCACATTTCTAAGCTGTTTAATGTTCTCTGTAAAATTTGCGTAGCTAATTCTATATTTTTACTTTTAACATATATTACTAGATCATCAGCAAAAAGATTAGCTTTTACGGGAAGCTTTATGTGGTTTGTTATATTATTTATTGCGATTAGGAATAATAGTGGACTTAAGGCCGATCCTTGAGGAATTCCATTATGAAGTGATTATTTCATCTATTTTATTAGAGCATTTCAGTCGGCATTTATTTTTTTTATATTTTCGATATTTTTCGTACTTTTTTTCATCATTTTTGAACATGCGTTTTCCCGCTTCCAAATTGAAAATTTACCGTACTATAAAAAGGGTTTAAAATACACCCAAAAGATGCTGGTTGTGTTCATTTTCTTTATAGTACAAGGGTTGGCTCGTTGTTGATGTTTCCTCAGGAATTTTATTATATGTCCTTTACACAGCGAGTTCGGCATGCTTGATTATAATCTTAAACAAGGGAGAACAAACAATCCTTTGCTTCTCATACATGGCAAGTTCAAGAAAATTACAGTTATCTGTAATTAATTATTAATCAAGTGGGAAAATGTACGTGTCTGTGAAGGTAACTGGTGTTAATATCCTTTTGTTCCTGAACTTCTGTATATTCGTATTTGAAAGACTGTTTTTGTAAAACTTGTATTAATTGTATCCTAAAATTTCAAAGCAATATTATCATCATTTTAATTATTTCTGTTATTCTGTTTCAATAATTTAATTACTGTAGTAATTTAGGTAAGAATATAAATGACTGTAAAAATATCTAAATTAACTTTTAAGGAAGGATTTTATTCCTTTTTAGTATTCGTGTAGTGTAATATTGCTACAATAATAGTCATCTCTTAGACATATCGAAGGCTGAGAACCATAGGATTCCAAGTGACATTTACAAATTTCTTCAGGAAACTAATTTTACAGTTTGCTGTCAAATAAAACGGATCTGACAAAATTATACTGTGCCAGATTTGATATGTTATATATTATTGTTTAAGGATTTGGTAATAGGGGAGGATGGGGCATCATGAACCATGGAGGTAATGTAAACCACATCGGTTATTTTGTTTAAAATTGGCGACACTGCATCTAGTAACTACTACATATTTAAAATCTACTACATATCCCACATTTAAAAAATGTGGGATAGTACCTTATGATCCCAATATATTTACAGACCTCGATTTTGCACCATCTGCTACGACTGAAGGAGATTTGGAGAATAATAGTCTACCAGTGTCAAGTCAAGATGAGGCAATTCCTTCAACTTCAACTGCAGAGCCTCACTTAAGTCAAGATGAGGTAATTGCTTCAGCCTCAGTTGCAAAGCTTAATACTGGTAACGATTTTTAATTGACAATTTCCCCTGCACACAATAGACCAACAACTTCATTTGGAGCAAACAGCCCTAAAGACATTCGTCCTCTGCCAAAGAGAAGTAAATTAATGGAACCAAAGAGGAAATCTAAAAAAGGTAAAACGGCTGTACTGACATCTAGTCCGTATAAGTTAGAATTAGAACTTGAAATAAACACGAAGGAGGCAATAGAAACAATGAAAAAGGAAAAAGCTAAGAAAAAAATAAATGATGATAAGCACGAAGATAGTGAAAGAAGTAACAAAAAAATAAAAGTTTGTCCTTCCAAAGATGGTAAGGGAAAGAAAAAAAATAAATGTAACCATCAAGTACAAGATGATGGCAATGGTGAAGATGCTGAATGATTTTACTGTAACGAGTGGTTCTCCTCATCAGCCAATGAAGAAGGATGGGTACGTTGCTCGGCCTGTCTGAAATGGGCTCATGAAGCATGTGCGGGAATAGATCCAGAAGATGATGAAGAATTTCAGTGTGAATTTGTATTTCTGAATAAATATAACATGTGTCTATTTTTACTAATGTTCTGTTACCGGTTTTCTAAGTATTTTTAATAAAAAAATTCTTTTTACTTGATTTTATTTACCAAACATAGCCATTAGATAATGAAATAGTGTGACTTTTCTCAGTAGTTCACATTGCCCCACCCTATGGGGCAATGTGAACTTTTGACATATAGTCAGTTGTCATTTTTTTGTTGAAAATACGTTAAATAAATTATGTTTCAATTGCAACTAAATGACAGTTAAATGTTTAATGAACGTCCCTAATTAATTAAACAAAACAAAATCATTTCTGGTTTAACAGTATGTGCATATCTTCCTTAGATGGTTCACAATACCCCATCCTCCCCTACAGTAATTCATAAAACAACAGTGGTTCAGTGGAAATTGGTTGTTGCCTAATACTGATAAGACAGTTTTTGTCTACTTTAGAACCAGCCAGTCACGAGAACGGTTTCCAGATACAATTAATTTTCTATCACAAAATACGGAACCTGCTAGGTCAGTTAAATTTCTCAGTATTAATGAGAATAGAGCTCATGTTCTATGGAACAAATACAAAATACAACAAAAAAACTGAATAGAGCCTGCTACTCATTAAGAGTGTTAAAGAGCTATCTAGACCAGGGGATTTTACTGTCAGTATGTTATGCAAACTTTTATTCTGTTATGCTATATGCATTAAGCTTCTGAGGTGCTGCAATAGATAGCTCAACTGTTTTTATAGTCCAAAAAAATATAGTCCGGGTGATCTTAGGACTAAAGGCGGGAGAATCCTGTAGAGGCTGATTCAAATCACTCAACATACTCACTTTCTAGCCATCTATATATTTGAATGTATTATGTTCATTTTTAAAAATTTTTCTTTGTTTTATCAAATGCTGCTTAATCATGAATATAATACCAGAAGCCTTAATTTGAAATTGCCACTTCACAGATTGTCTATAACAGAGAGAAGTCCTTTGTATGCCTGTGTTAAATTTTATAATGATGTCAATATATATATATATATATAAAAAGTGAGTTGAGGTTAATTGGGTATACAGCTGAATAAAAGCCAAGTGCACTCTGTTCAACAGTTCATTATATTTCGCCAATTTTCATTGGCATCATCAGATGAAAGTTGATTGAGGTTGTGGCAATATGATTTATGTTATCATCAGAAAGGTTTGTGGTATGATGTGGATTGTAGTTTTTTTGGATATATAACATGTAGTTGTAAAAATGACAATTAAAATATTAAATGACAATATATAAATTTAATTAATAATTTAATTTTATAATTAATTTATAAATATTTTAATTGTCATTTTTACAACTACATGTTATATATCCAAAAAAACTACAATCCACATCATACCACAAACCTTTCTGATGATAACATAAATCATATTGCCACAACCTCAATCAACTTTCATCTGATGATGCCAATGAAAATTGGCGAAATATAATGAACTGTTGAACAGAGTGCACTTGGCTTTTATTCAGCTGTATACCCAATTAACCTCAACTCACTTTTCATCTACCAGATCAGCTGTTATTTTAGAGGATATATATATATATATATATATATATATATTATATATATATATATATATATATATATGATTTCAGTTGTTTTCCGGGTTTGACTCCGCGTTAAGTAATTTTGGTTTTTAGAAAAACCATTGTTTTGACGACGTTTCGGCAAGGTCACACTTGCCATTGTCAAGTCAGATTAGTTCTGCTTCGTTAGAACAAGTTCTCCTGAAACATCAAGACGAAGCAGAACTAATCTGACTTGACAATGGCAAGTGTGACCTTGCCGAAACGTCGTCAAAACAATGGTTTTTCTAAAAACCAAAATTACTTAACGCGGAGTCAAACCCGGAAAACAACTGAAATCACTTATAGCTCCCGCGGAAGTTTCAAATCCAATATATATATATATATATATATATATATATATATATATATATATATTGACATCATCATAATATATTAATGTGTAATTAATAATGTGACGTTATTTGTTCAATTATATTTAAAAATTTATGCAAATAAAAATTTACTCTTCTCTACTCGACTCTATTCTTTCCCCAGGTACTGTTAAATAAAGATCTGGTAGTGCTCGCAACTTAGACAAAGAAAAGGTTCGCACTATTCCCTGAAGACGACATTATGCGATTTTTCGTCAACTGAGTACATTTCATTATATTTATTGATTTGTAAACAATATAATTTATTGTTCACAAAGTAATAGTTGTTGTTCAGTAGTAGTAGTATTTAGTAAAATTCATTGTTTATAATTTAATCATAAAATAAAAAAATTGACAATTCAAATATTGTCAAACATCTGACATAAATTTGACGTCATAATAAACATTCTTGCAATACGTGTGGCCTAACTTTTAGGGGTGGCCTGAAAAATGTATTATATTTTTGCCAAATTTTGAAATACATTTAATTCGTAGAACGGTTTTAACATTTGTTTTTAATTCAGATTTTAGTCCTCTACAAATAGTTTTTAATGACTTTTGATCTAAAATAATTAGGGAAGCAGCAATTCAACAATTTAAAATTTCCCATTGAGTTTCCTATGGCCCGTTTGACGATTCACCACCCGGTATATGTATATATGTGTGTATATACTTGTTAATTAGGTATACTTAAAATAATTAAATTCCAATTTTATTTTATATACTTTTACGGTTTGTAGAAAATGATTTACGGTTAATTTTGATGGTAATAGCTATTTTGTTCAAATTGTCATCGTTAGACTGGTATGCATATTATTATGCACCTATAATTCCCTTGGTTTATATTACGTTGCTGCCCAATAACCATTTTAATTAAGGTTTGTTTTTGATTAAAACGTGGATATGTTCTATTAGCTAAGTAAATTTTAACTGTTTGACAAAAAATGTTCATTAAAATAGTTTAAATATAAAACAAAAATTTTAATTAAAATATATAGAGGAGATCCAAATTTCAGGATTTTTTAACATGTAGGATAGAGAATTTTAATTTAAAAATTGTACGACTACCTTATTTAATTTTTAGAACGAGGAAATCTGTAAATCCTTTTAAAATTTATTTTAGCTTTGAATGCATGTTTGTCCTATTTCGATTCTTGATAAGATTAGGTTAGTTCTTAATAAATCAGTCAAAAGGATATTAATTGCAATAATAAATTTTAGTATATTGGAAAAATTAGAATCCATCGAGGGTCATCGAGGGTCATTGGAAATAAATCAAAACGATTATAAGAAACTCAACTCCAAACTTAAAAGAGAGCAGTCAAAAAAAAACAACAGTTGAGGAACGATGAGATTTTAAATTTAATGGAAAAAAGACGCAATTTTAAGAACCAAAACGTCGAAATGTATAAAGAGATGTAATTAATAAAGAGATAAGGATTAAAATAAGAGCTACAAAACAAACATACTTCGAAAACAAATGTTTAGAAATTAAAGAGTTATAGGGAAAACATGATTCATTTAATACGCATAAAAAAATAAAATAACTGACAAGTCAGAACAAAAAACAAGCAAATAACACGCAATATTTGGTATTATTTATTAAACGTTTATAATTATTTTAGGCCTTTGTATTCCAAAATAATCACTGTTTAACCGAAAACTGCCAATTTTAAAATCCGTTAGTGTCATGTCTATTTGGCGAATCGTTTACGTGTTTGGTTCATACGCTGGTGTTCGTGAGTTCGAATCCCAATATGAATTTCCTTTTTTATTTTTGAAATATTCAAAAACCTTACGTTAATCTTATTAAATATATGTAAAATACGCATGCCTATTACGAAATATTCAAAAATAAAAGTTTAACTTTGACACCCTTTATTTTGGTCATTATCAACGTTCGTACTAAAGTAAGTTAGTTTAAATCAGCCTATTTCAATCTCAGGAATCTAAGATTAAGTTATGGCCATTCGTTACCAAACGCCATGTATATTATATTAGTGTATATAATAACCCAAATGTCAATAATAATCATATTAAAATTAACATAATTATAAATAGGTACATATAGGTGGCAGGTAGCACTCTTCTACAATCCCAGTAGAAGACAGGCTGCTACAGGGATTAGTGACCCTGCCTTATGCTAGCTTCTGGTTCTCCCTCCTTCCTTTCCTGAGGGAACCAGGTCCTCATATTCTTTTCCTATCCCCCCTTTTTAAAACTCCTACCTTCATCCTACCCTCTACCAACTCGCACTGGCCAGCGCGGTAGAGTATGGCTAAAATCCAAGCATGTTTGACACGACAAAAACACGGCCCTCAGTCCCCGGCAGTGAGCTGATCCTTGGTCAAGGTAGCGATCAATAAAGACAGCAAACAGAGGATGCGAAGAATCCCCGGGTCAGATCAGGCTACCACGGACGACGACACATGTATATCGCCACGTACAATGTAAGAACACTGTCATCTGAAGAAAAATTACTGGAATTAGAAGAAGAGTTAAAACACATAAAATGGGACGTTATAGGTCTCTGTCAAGTAAGACGTGAAGAAGAAAACTGTATAACTCTTAAATCAGGGCATTAACTTTTCTGTATGGGAAACAAAGAAAAAATAGGAGGAGTTGGACTTCTTATATATAAGAGACACACTAAAAATATCCAACAGCTTAAAGGTATCAACCCAAGAATAATACTCTGCACCTACATCTACACACTCGGACGAGGAAGTGGAAACCTTTTATGAAGACCTAGAAAATGCTGTAAAACTAGCGCCTACTACACACAACCTAGTAATGGGTGACTTTAATGCTAAGA